CTCCGTATTTACCAAATCATGAATATAATTACATAACCCTCTATTACGCATTCTCCTCAATATTAGTTATTTTTTTGAAAAAGGAATTAGAAAGCGGAAAATATTAAATAAAACCTCACAATGCAAACTTCTAAATATGCAAAAGACTATTCTACCGTTGAAATATAAAACAACAAAAAATCAAAAGCGAAAACAAAATGTTTTTTAAGGAAAAAGAAAATGTTTTTAAAAAAAGGAGAAATATGAATGCGAATTTCTTTAAATATCATCTAGAAATTTTGGGTAGGTTCAATTTTCCTCATTCGGGTCCCACCTCTGAGGTCATCATCGTCATCATGGTACACATAAGCAAACCCGCCGTGTCGGGTCAGATCCATACCCGCCATTTCATCTTCCTCCGAGATCCGGAGCAGTTTCAGCCTGTGCAGAACGTAGAAAAGTGGGCCCATTGTGACACTGACCCACCCGAATATGACCAGAATCTGGATCACATGTGCCCCGAGAAGCTTCCCGCCGCCGCCCATGAACAACCCATGCGGCCGGCCAGGATCTCCGCCGTAAACCTCGTTCACGTACTTCTTCTTCGCGAATAACGCGGTGAAGATGATCCCCCAGGCCCCGCATCCGCCGTGTAGCTGCGCCGCCTCCAGCGGGTCGTCGTATCGGGCTATCTCGGCTAGCTTGTTGAGCCCGATGAGCACCAGCGCCGCCACGAAGCCGCAGATGATCGCGGCCCACGGATCCACGACGGAGCACCCGCCGGTGATCGCCGCGAAGCCGCCCAGTAGCCCGTTGCACACGTCGGTGACGTTCCAGTGCCCCGTCAGAATTCGCTTCACGAACAGTGTCGTGAGCGCGGCGGTGCACCCCGCCAGCGTCGTGGTCACGGCGGTGCGTCCCACGGCGCTCCATTGGCCGTAGAATCCGCCGCCGGGATAAGCCACCAGGATTTTGTTGAACGACCCGGGATTGAACCCGTACCACCCGAACCATAACAGAAACGTGCCGAGAACAACCAACGTCGCGCTATGTCCGCGCAAAGCAACGGACCGACCGGACCGGTCGAACCGGCCGATTCTAGGGCCTTCGATTAGGGCGCCGTACAATCCGGCAATTCCGCCCACCATGTGAACAACTCCAGATCCGGCGAAGTCGATGACTCCGGATCCGAAAAGGAGATCCGACTTCTTAGTCGGGCTGGCCCACCCGTCAACGGACCAGAACCAATGGGAGACGACGGGGTAAACGAAGCCGGTGAGAAAAGCAGAGTAGATCAGATAAGCCACAAATTGAGTCCGCTCGGCTATGGAGCCGCTGGTGATTCCGGCGGCGGCGATGGCGAACGCCCACTGGTAGAGGAAATTACTGTAATCCATCCCTGCGCCGGCGTCGGGGATGCTTTTCAGGCCGAAGAAGTAGCGGCCGATGAATCCGTTAGAACTGTCGCCGGTTCCGAACGCAAAGGCGAATCCGAATAGGTAGTAGAAGAGGCCGCCGGCGGCGGCATCGAGGACGTTAGTGAGCATGATGTTCATCGTGTTCTTGGCGCGAACAGATCCGGCGCAGAGCATGGCGAATCCGAGCTGCATCGAGAAGACAAGGTAAGCGGAGAAGAGGAGATAGGTGGAGTCGATGGCGAATCCCGTGTTGACGAAGGCGTCGGAGACGTCGGAGAACTGGCGGCATATGTAGGCGGCGGCTGCGGCGGCGTTCGTGGCGTTGGATCCGAGGAGCGGAGCCAGGTGATCGGCGGAGCAGCTCAGGGACGCCATTGCTGGTGGCTGGGTGCTCTGGTTACCCCCGAAAAGTGAAAACCGGTTGTTGTTAAATAGAGAGAGTTTTGGAGTGGGTGGGTTACTGAATTGTTGGCGTACGGAATGGGATGTTGACTTTTCCAAAGCAGATTCTGACTCTGGGATTCAAACGTGTTCAGATATTCAAAAATAGTTGACCGGTACATTGGCGGCGAAGGAACGCGGAAAGAACAACTTGATACTAGGGTGGGGCAAGCACCAAACAGATACCAAAAATTCCCGAAAAAACTGAGAATATCGAACTGAAAAATACCGAAATGAAAAAGTAACAAGAAGGAACCGAACTGAATGGTCGGTACGGTATTTGGGAACGGTACGAAGTGATGTCCCATAACGAAAATCCCGAACCGAACCTATATAGCAAAATATTATAAAAAATAATATCCCAGAGTAATATTTTTATATTCCTTCACTAAATAATAATTTAGTTTTTTTTAAAAAATGGTTTAGGTTCTATTATATGTGTAAATTATACTTTTATTTGAGTTTTAGTTTTGTATATGAACATAAAAGTATTCATAAAGATTCGAAATACTCTTTTATTGTCATTCATTTTTTAGTTTGTAAAATATAAACTAAGTTTTGATATGCATCTCTTGAATTTAAATATTCATTTTTGTTAATTTTTCATGCTTTTTTATTTAAAATCATTTTTTAATTTTCAAAAATAAAGGGGCATCGTTAAATTCTAACGTGTAAAGTAGGTGTGTATATTCATCCCGATTTGTACCGAAACCGATACCGAACCATCCCGAACCATACCGAACCGATATTTCGGGATCGGGATCGGGATCGGTACGGAGTAAAATCCCACACCGAACCGAAATATTTGGTACGGTACTGATACGAGCTAAATACCGTACCATACCGTATCATGCTCACCCCTACTTGATACTCGGACTCCCCCCTTGTTGTACGGAGTACCTTCGATAATTTACGGAGTATTTATTTAATCCAATGTCCCAAATTATTTGTCACATTTCTATTACCGAATCAAAATATCAAGATTTTTCAATTCATTTTATTTACATATTGGTAAAAAATAAAAAATAAAAATTACATATCAAAAAAACACATGAAAAGTTCTTCGAAATAAGAGGTGTCAAAAATATTTTATTTTATCAAATAACCAATGAAAACATAAAAATAAACAAAAGTTCCCGCGACTGTTGAAAAAGTAAATGTGACAAATAATTTGCGACGGAAGGAGTATATTTATATTTATTTTCGTTACACGTTTAGTAAAATAGAAGAAACTCCTATTGGTGACTCTAGACTTGTCATGGATAGACTTGAGTTATGCTCTCGATTCGCCTTAGCCCATGATCTTTTTTACGTGGGCTCACTCATTAGAGCATGAGCAATGGCAAGTAAGAAATGAAATGTCACATGACGTAGAGTATTTTAGCCAATGAAAATCAGTCCAGTCATTTGTGGCAAATGAGTGGGGTGGCATGCCTTACAATGGCAAGTCACTCTTTTTATTATTTGTTACACTTTTTAAATGTATTTTAATTAATAAAAATGATTTTAATTAATTATTTGATCATAAAAATACTTCTATAACATTTATTTAAAAATAAGAGTATTGTTTTTCCTTATTTAAAAAGATTTAAAAAATAAAAAAATCTTAATTTTCCTTATTAAAAAAATTTAAAAATATGTTGTCTAATTTATTTAAATCCCTTACAAAAAAATAAAAACATTTTTGTTTAAAAAATCCAATCCATCTGTTTCCTTCTTAGAGCATCTTCAACAAAAAAAGAACATGAACGCCTCGCACATGTCTCGCTCGCCGGGGTGGAACGCCCATAACTCTCCTTGGTAATCAAGTAAGTGGATGATGTGGCAGGGCGAGGTAGATAAATTACTCGCCACTGCATATGCTCTTAGTTGAGTGGTTTGATCGCTTTCACACAAGTTTCCTTCATTGGTGTATTGGCCCATCATCTTAGGTTTAATTAATGTATAATGAATGCATTGGGTTGAGTATGTTAGAATAATAATAATAATAATAGTAATCCCTATTTATGATAAAGTTAGTATTTTGGTCAACTTATATTCCCATTCTTATGTATGCTAGGAGAAAAATGCTAGGGTGCTACCACATGGGTGCTACCATGGGTGCACCTATGCTTCGCATAGACAAACACATGCGATAATTGTCTGTGCGACACAGACAATTATCGTGTGTGTTTGTCTGTGCGAAACATGGATGCACCCATGGTAGCATACTTGTGGGGGCACCCTAGCATTTTCACTCACTTTATTACCCCCTTTGTCTATAAAATAAAACAAACTTTACTCTTTCTCCAAATTTCTTTTTAGAATTTAACGTGGTTCGGTTTCCCTAATCCACGGCTGCAACAGGAGAAATTTCTTATTTCACTTGTGGTGCCGATTACAAGTACAAGTATGCAATATATATATAGGAAGAGCGCATCTAGGGTTTCGTAACATGGGCCGGGCCAACAAGTCAAGCTCAAGCCTCCACAAATCCAACAATGTCCCGCACTGTACTCCTTCATTATAACTTGAACAATATATTATTATATTCCAATTCTATCGAGGCACATTAGGCGATGTTTTATCCTTTGGGTCATACCCACAACACTTTGTTCCAAAATTGACGTCATTAAGGTGGGACACTACTCAAAAACTAATGTAATCTCATGAGAAAAGCCGAGAACCATTTATTTGAACAATGATCAGTGGTACTAATTGAGAAATAAAAATATATGGTCCTACGTAGTAAAAATTACTACTTTTACTTCTTCCCTTCCTAAATATTTACCACATTTCTAAAATTAAGGCAAAATATGAAGTTTTTTAAAATTCATTTTATTTAAATATTGGTATAGAAATAAAAAAACTACATATTTAAAAACTACATGAAAAGTTATTGAAATGAAAAGTTATTGAAATAAGAAGTGTCATGAATATTTTATTTTATCAAATAACTAATGAAAATATACAAATAAATAAAAATTTCAGTGACTCTTGAAAAACCAAAAGTACCAAACATATTGGGACGGAAGTAGTAGTATTTTGGTAAATTTTCTCTATTTATTATTCTAATTTTTTTTACAGCATTTATTGATTTTTTTAATTTTTTTTATTTATTATTCATTTTTTTAAAGAGTTGTTGTTATTGCTCTTATTATTGTTTTTATAGCTTTGGAAGGAATAAAATTCTTCAATCTAGAGTTCCCACTTCCCACTGGGAAGTGTGAGCATCAGATTTATCTCCGCACTTTTGCTGCCGCAAGGAAATCATAGATCCCAATTTCCGAGTTCTCGGTGTTTCCACGTCGACCCTGCGGCTGCCGTCCGGCCATCAAACTCGCTGTCGATCGTAGAGGTAAATGATTTTATTTTATTGTATCTCGTGTGCCCCGGTGATTCTTGGCCTACCTTGACGGCGTTTGCTCCGGTGATTCTTGGCCTGATTTGACAATCACTTTTAAAATCGAAAAGATAATGAAATTCGCAGCTAAAAAGAATTACAATGAACTAATAAATCAAAACCATGTTTTTGTAGTTGATTGTGGTGGACATGAAAAATATGCCTTTGCACTTCAGGTGCTCGACAAAAAAGCCTCTAAGAACCGTTGAAGCTAGGAAACAAGAAAATTTTAGAGTTGTTTATACCCATATGTTCGTAGCTCTATGATCAGCAAAAGATGTGGAGGCGACTAACTGCACTCTCCCAGCGCTTTACTTCATCATCTAAACCTTCTCATCGTCAGGTTCTTACCACTCAATTTCTGTGGACTGTGATCCCATCTAATGTTTTTGGGTTTTTTTTGCTTCTTAAAAAGATGATAGAACTTCCCTCTTAATAGATTCGACCAGCTGATGGGGGTACACATTGGCAAGAGTTTTGTTCTGATGCTCACAAGCAGGTGGTACTTCTTTCAAATCTTCATCATTAGCATAGAAGAATATCTAAAGGCTTTCTTTTATGTTTGTATGGGCATAGGCTGAAGGTGGAATCTCTTCCCAGAAAACGACCCCGTTTATAGCTTTTGTTCTAGGTAACTTATGTTTGAATTGATGGGTTTATGCATTTTTTACTACAACATTTCATGTAAAAGTACTCCGTACTTTATTTCTTTAACTTGGGTGTTTGAGTTCCTCATTCTAAGTGCTCCTGCATTTGCTTTATTTAAGATGGTTTACAAAAGCATTTAGGTTTGTAAAGTTATCAGCTTTTAGAGTATTAACTTTCTGAAGTCCTTATTTGATCTGCCTCTTTTTAGTTCTTTCTGCTTGACTCTGCCTGAAAGGAACTTTCGTACCTAACAAATGATGCTCTATGCCTGTTTTTCTTTACCTTCTTTTAGTTGGTCAATGGTTAAAATCTCTAACACATTTGGTAATTTGCTCTCCTCTTCTTGGTAGTGAAGCTAGTGACAATATGCACCAACCTCTTTGGTCATGTCTAAGGGCAGAAATAAGCTAAAACAAGCTTTGCGTTGGAAGACCTGGGCTTATTTTACACGCTATAGGCTCAAAGAGACTGGTGGCATGTTATATGTTTTTTCTGGTTGGGACAATGCTTACTGTACACCAAGCTTCATTTTTTACTTCACGGACAAATCTATGCAGTGCAAATTTGAAGCTTCATGTACACCAAGGCGTACTCCAAGTGTTTCTGTAGCCTGGCAAATATTTCCATCCCTCGTGTCAAATAGAAGTTTTGTTTTGCACTTTTATGTTCACTAGCACCTAATAAGTTCCCGGTATCTTTTGTTTTTTTTTGTTTTTTTGGGNGGGGGGGGGGGGTGTTTAAAGTTAAAAATATTGTGTGACCATTCCATTGCATGCGGATCTTCTTAGATGTTCTAAGTGCTTTAATTTAATTATCTCTAATAATAAATTTTCCAGGTGGTCCCGGTAGTGGAAAGGGCACTCAATGTATGAGAATCGTTGATACCTATGGGTTTACTCACATAAGTGCTGGAGAACTATTAAGGAAAGAAATGGATTCCAATAGCGAATCCAGGTACGCTATGGTAAAAACAAATTATACGCCCTCCGTCCCTAATTAATTTACTCACTTTGACTTAACAAAGGTTAAGAAAAGTGTTGAATAATGTAAGGTGAGTAGTTAGGATTTGTTTAAAAGAGAAGTATTTTGGGCCACCTATTCTTTTTTTCTAAAAAGGGAAGATGAAAAAGTGAGTTATTGTAGGACAGATGAAAAAGAAAGTGGGATTTTTTGTGTGGCACAGAGTGAGTATTATATTATTATTAGTATTATTTTCCTTTTTTCTATTCAAACTAATTCTTCTTCTTTTTCACTTCAATATCATATAGTGCTATGATTCAGAAGATTATGAATGAAGGAAAAATTGTTCCATCAGCGGTGACTGTCAAGCTACTTCAAAAGGCCATTGAATCAGGTGAAAATAATAGGTTTCTCATCGATGGTTTCCCAAGAAGCGAAGAGAACCGCATATCATTTGAGCAAACAGTTAGTTTCTTCTATTCTAATTATGTTTGTTAAGGAATCTTTTTTTTCATTTGCTCTAGTTTTTCAGAAAATATATTATTATTGATTTGTTTGTAATTCATTACATGGATTTTAATGTCCTTATGAACTCCAACTGTCTATCTTTGTCCGGTTTGCCACTTGATTCATAATTGCTAATAATTTGAATTAGGTGTAATTGCAGATTGGTGCTGAACCAAATTTTGTGCTTTTCTTTGACTGTCCTGAAGAAGTGATGATCAAACGAGTACTGAACCGTAACGAGGTGATCTTTCTGTGTGACTCACAAATTAGCAGGTATTCTATTCTGTAGCATGTGCCCATAACAACTCTGAACTCAGCCATTATCCTTTTCCAGGGACGACCAGATGACAATGAAGATACCATAAGAGCACGTCTGAAAACATTCAGAGCTGTGAGCTTTCCTGTAATTGAATACTATGCCAAGAAAGGGAAGGTTTACAAGGTGAGTTAGGCTAATGCCTGCTTGACATGTATACATCCAAATTATCCAATGTGTGTCTTGTTATTTATGTTCACTTCAATGAACATCTTTCTGGACAACAATTTTACTTGCAACGGTTTCATCCAGATTGATGGTACCGGAACAGCGGATGAGATATTTGAACGAGTCCGCCCCATTTTCTCAGCATTTAGGTAAATACGATAAATTTTACTTTTTACAGCGACCATGCCATGTTTTGAACTTTTGATGATATGACATATCACTCTTGCCAGTTAGGGTTGTTCATTGGTTTGGTTTTAGGTCGGCCAAGTTTTGAAAAATGTTACTCCCTCCGCTTTATTGGATCCTTGACACACGTTTAACAATGCTTGAGTGATGTTATTTTTGTTTCACTTTATCTAAGCGTTGATGCAAAATGTAAAAAAAAATTAATATATTAGAACTATGTCAAAAGATCTACTCCCTTTGTCCCAGAAATATAGTCATAGTTGCTATTCTGCCCTTCCGATAACATTTTTTTTATTTGTGTGTTTTCATTGGTTATTTAAAAAAATAAAATAATTTGTCACACCTTGTTTTATAGGACTTTTGATGTAGTTTTGAAATATTAAATTTGCACTTTTTGTTTCTATACCAATTTGTTAATAGAATAAATGTAAAATATATGAGATTTTGCACGTTGTTCGAAGTGAGACAATATTTTAGCGACAGAGCGAGTATAAAACAAGAGATGACATGAGTAAATTATTACTCCGTATTTCAAATGATAGATGAAATTTTGTAAAGAGAGACGGTTCAGTTCGACTTGTAAATAGTAAGTGTAAATAATAATAATTGAAGGATGTTTTTAGTGATTAACCACTCTTTCATGATGTAGCATTAACTTCATCCTATCTAATTGAAAGATGTATTTCCATTCATTGGGCTTTCTGCATGTTTATGACAAGAAGATTACTCTATTTTTTTCCCCTTGGTTCACATGACATTGGGAGCCAATGTCATGGAAACCTTCCCCATTTTTTTTTTTGCAGGTAAGAAGGGTGTACATGAATAGATTCAATCTTGTCCATGATTGTTGGTGCACATGAACAAATGAATGGTTTTTGACTTGGCAGCCCGGTGCACAAAGCGTCACCGTGCTTCGCGAGGGTCTAGGGAAGGGTCCCACAGTTATGGTTTCTTGATGTTCCTAACAATAAAGGATCCATGGGATCACATACAAATTTACTTATTTTCTGTGCATAATATGTTTACCTTCAATGGAGGTTAAACAGAGTGGCTTTTAGCCTTTTACTCTAGCTGTTCTTGAGTGTCCATTTAGAGAGAAATTGAATTGAATAATTTTCAGTCTGTTGGCATTCAATGACCCTTTCTTTTTACCCTAAACCTTTTACCCTGGCCTTGTACTTCCCCAGCTAGTGTAAGAAAAAAAATTACACCACAGATGCAATGTTGACATGTGACAGTATATTTAGCCCACTATTAATAGAATACAGTTGAAAAAGCTGGATAAACACACTTTACTCTGTTCCATAAAAGTTTTTTTTATTCTTTTATTTTATTCGTCTCAAAATATTTTTCTCTTTTCCGTTACAGAAAGAAAATGTGGTTTGGATTCTTTTTTAAATAAATTTAAGAGTTATGCTAGGGTTACACCATTCCAAATGGTGTATCTCATTTTACACCGCCATTCTTTACTAAACATTTTTTAAATAATTTATTAATTTTTATATCAAAAAGTGTACCTCTAGCATTTTTGTAATTTCAATTACTTGCCTTTTACACAATTTTAAATATATTTTTAAAAGTTTTGTGAAATCAAAATAGGCAAATTAATTTGGATAGAGAGTAATACTTGTATTTCCTTTTGTGTAAGATCAATTGCAACGTTTCAAAAAGGCAAATCCCTTCAAGTTGCTCCACTTCTGTTTCTTTCTCTCTTTCTTTTGTTTCCCCCTCCCCCAACGGTTGTATGAATAAAAAAGTTATTTTTTTAAAAAAAATAAAATTCAAATTTAAAATTTTAAATTTCAAACCACACATTCTCTCTTCTATTTAAACCATCTAATCTCTAACCACACATTCTCTCTTCTATTTAAATTTCAAACCACACATTCCCTTCTTATTTTTTTTCTCTTCTCTCTTCTATTATACTGAGAAGATGAATAATTTGTACTCTCTATGAGTTTTAAATTATTTTTTTTGTATTTAATTGTAAAAAACGGGAAAAAACAATTAATCCAAAATGAGAAAAAAATAATAACAAAATAAATTGGATTAATCCCAAATATAAATTTTAATTAATTTATATTATTGTTTTATAAAATATAGAATTTAATTTGAAAAGAAATAGGTAAATATTTAAAAAAAGTGTAATCATTGCATTGGATGCAAGACACAACAAGTATGAAGTGAGTGAGATGATGAGTACTGTCAGCGATGATATGATGTTGAGTGGTTGCTCATTTAAAATGAGTGGTGGTGGGGTACTACAGATAGTCATTGTTATTTCCCCTTTCTCTTCTCTTAGCAGAATAAATTTATTTAATACAACATGTAGTTTATAAACACATGGGTGACTTGCACAACGGTCCGTTTTGGTTTCGAAAAGGAGCTCTAGCGCCCCCTCTGTTTTGAAAAATAATTTATAATATACCTATGATTTCTAAAGGGTGCACATTAACTCCCTCTGATTTTGATTTGCTTCTTGTTCCGTATCCACGCGCTAGACGTGCAAATTGAGTACTTTTTACTTGTACTCCCTCCGTCCTATTTTAAATCACATGTTTTCCTTTTTTGTCTGTCCCAAAATAGGTTGGTTATTTCTTATAATAATAAACTTTTAAAACTAAAATACCTAAATCACACCTAAAATAAGTCACTCCTCTTCACCTTATTTTCTCATTTATCACCATTCCCCTAAAAAAAGTAAGGCATTTTTGAAAAATCAACACCACTTTTTCACTTTCTTAATAATGTCTCAAAGTTAAAACGGACAATATAAAATGGGACGGAGGGAGTACTATTTTAGTCTCCTTCCCACAATATTTGTCTAGTTAATTTTTTGTAGTCAACTCAGATCGACCTTTAACTTATACGGCACTGTTCTTTTGATTTGGAAAAATTAACTTCCAACTTTTCCCAATTCTTTCCAGTTTTTTCTAACGAATTAAAAATATATATTTATAAATGATGAATATACAATAACATTATATATCGAAATTTATAACATACCACCTCAAAGACGGAATATGATGAATTCTTTTTTGTCCAAAAAATAGAATTTTCCTACATATTTATTTGGATGATCATTAAATTAACTGACTTTTTAACACTTAAATTCCTCCAATTTTTTCTAACTAATTCCAGTTTTTTTCAACTCCTTCCAGTTTCTTCCAACATCCAAGTCTTAAATTCCAACCTAAACGAATATGGCCTAACTAAATAAAAATTACATGCTATTTTATTTGCGTAAAAAACTATTTTAAAAATATTTTACAAAATAAATCTAATAAAATTATTTTTATATCAATGTGTATTACGGTGTATAAATTTTACTCCTTCTATCCCACAATGTTTGTCACACTCCGAACAACGTACAAAATCTCATCACTTTTAAAACTATTTTAATAAAAAATGGTATAGAAATAAAAGCCACATTTACACCATTCAAAAATATGTCAAAAGTTATATTTAAGAATAATCTTTTATTCTATCAAGTGATCAATAAAAATACACAAATAATCAAAAATTAATGAGAGACTGTAATAGTAATAGTGACAAACATTGTGGGACGGAAGGATGTTTAATTGATGGTCAAAGTTTTTCATACAAATTGATACAAGAATAGTTTATTAAATATATTTTGTAAAATATTTTCAAACTGTTTATCCAATTATTATAGCATGTAATCTTTATTTACTTATAAGTCAAAAGTCGATATGAGTTAACTGTAAAAAGTAAAAACTGGATAAATACTTTGAGAGTCTCAGAACGAAATAAAAAGTAAAGTTGAATTCCATTCGCATGCCTAAACCAGAGAGGAGTGGTGTAATTCACCCTTATAAACACAGAAATAATGATTCTATTATGGTGTTGATTATGAGCATGTTTTCTTCACTTTATTTTTATCATACCGAGTATGTTATTATTAAAATCTTATCAGTTTAAAATAAATCAGACCAGATCAAATCAAACAAAAACATTTAAAATATAATTTCAATAGATTAGACCTTAATAAATCAAAACAAACGAAAAAGAAGAAACTCTATGTCTCTCGATCATATTGGGTGGTTTTGATTTGATTCAATATTAAGAATCTTGATATATCACAAGATTAAACACGCTTTGCTTTTGAATATTTATCATGGATAATTTAAAAGTACTAGTATAAATAATAATATTAACAACAACAACAACAACAATAATAATAATAACAATATTCCGTAATAATAACAACAACAACAACAACAACAACAACAATAATAATAATGCACTTTAGATCTTTTGACGTCGAACGTCAATGTCACAATATGACCTGTGATGTTCCGTCGGTAAAATTGATGGTTTTACTTTCAACCCCACGCCTGCCTACCCCTCTCCCGATCGTCAAACAGGACATTATGGGAACGGAATCGAAATTCTTACCTACCTCTAATTTCAATGTTCACTAATAGCCAATTGGCTACACTCCAACAAAAATTCGTGATTGGATCAAATGCAATCAGGTAAAAGAACCATGATCCTTGCATATTTTTATTATATTACTTTTTAACAATATGTTTTTCTAACATGTTTCTAAATTTTTTTATGAAGCATTTGACACGAAAAGCAAAACACACATATAATCTTGAAGTTACATTAAAAACTTGTTTTCAATAGTCTAAAATCTAAATGGTAGAGTAATCAATAAATTGATCATTAATAAAAGAGTATTTTATCAGACTTATTAAGGTTCACAATCACACTTCTCAGAAACAAATTAATAAATCATAAAATGCATATCAGTATAATATTGATTGTTAATTGTCAAGGAACCCACTCAACCAAAAGCTCAAGTTTGTGGTTGTGGCCCAAGAACAATTATTTATATTCTAACACGCCCCCTCACGTGCAGGCGTAGTCTTTTTCGAACCTTGCACGTGAAACTTTAATTTTTTTTAAACTGGGTGGCGCTGAGTTTCAAACCCGTGATCTCTTAGTCAACGAGGCTCCGATACCATGTAAAGGAACCAATTCAACCAAAAGCTCAAGCTTGTGGTTGTGGCCCAGGAACAATTATTTATATTCTAACATTAATAGAGAGCAATAACTATAATTGATCATTAATTAACGAGTATTTTATCAAACTTATTTAAGGTTCACAAAGACATTTCTCACAAACAAATTTATAAATCATAAAATGCACATCATTATAATAATGATTTTTTATAGAGGGAAATAATTATAATGTCATTAAACTATTTATAATTATAAAAATGTGACTTTTTTTTAGTTTTGATGGAATGATACTCTTTGGGCCTATAGACATTAGATCGATCTATGGTACGAACCCATTAAAGAAATTCTAACCCTAGAAGTTCCTTATTTCAATATAAATATGACACAATTTCCAAAATGAGGGGAGACCAAATCAGATCTACACACAACATAGATAGGATATACTCTCTCCATAAAACAATTTGTATTTTTCACCAATTATAATGTATAATTGGTGAAAAATGTCACTCCTTTTTTATTTGTTAAAAATGTCACTCCTTTTTTATATTGTCATAAAACAATTTGTATTTTTCACCAGTTATAATGTATACTATAGGCACTCCAAAGCACCTTTTTTTGTGCGTTAATTGTGTTTATTGTAACTAGTGACTTCTTGGCAACTAAAAATCGAAGGATATTATTAAGTCATTAGTGTGCTAATTGTTACAACTTACAAGTGATTTCTTAGAAACAAAGTAGGTCATTAGTGTGCTAATTGTTACAAGTGATTTCAAGGAACCCAAGGCTGTATTGGATAAGGACTCCTACGTACACTTATTTTAGCGCCCTAATTGTTACAACAAAGAGATTCCTTGGCAACCAAGCTTTAGGTTACTACGAGATTTGGAAATTTAAGGAAAAAATTAGTTGGCAAATTCAAATTTCAACTCCAATACTCTTTAGGAACCCCTTCTGGTCAAATTGACCCTAATCTTTAGGAAACGAGTTCAGGTAACTGTCCAAAGGAAAAAAAACTATATATATAGACCCTACTAAAGGCATTCTATTTTCTCCACACAATCTTCTCTCACAAAACTCACAGACCAAGAAAAAATGTCGCTGAGAAATCAAAGGAGTGAGAGGTACCAGCCTTACTCGAGGCCTAATACTTCCTCTTCTTCATCTTCAGTTGATGGCTACTGCCCGCCACGCCAAGAAGTTCCGTTCAGGCGCACGGCTCGAATGCGCGTAAACTACACGGTTACGAGGTATGAATTTGAGGTGACCCAATGGATGATCGACGAGAGTCGTAATGAAGAAGAAGAAGATGAGGAGGAAGAAGAGGAGGAGGAAGATACCGAAGAGTTAGCGGCGGGCGAGGCTGAAGACGTGTCACAATGTTTTGAGACGAGGACACACTGGGGCCCGGTTGAGGACGACGGGGAGGAAGCAGAAGTGTGCTCAATTTGCCTGCTGGAGTACCAAGATGAAGAGACGGTCGCGACGCTTCAGTGCGGACATGAGTATCATCCAGATTGCATCAAGCAGTGGTTGTCGAAGAAGAAGGCTTGCCCTTTCTGTAGAGCAACAGTGCGGCCCTTAACACAATTAATTAATGATTAGGCGCACAAATTAAATCTCAACTAATTAGTCTCTTGTGATTTGTTGATGTATGGAGAGAGTTTGTACTCAGATTCTTACCTTACTTGATGCCCTTTTGTAATTTTCTATTTGCGTTATGAATTAGAATCCCACAACAGAGGGTACCTTGAATTGGTTTCTTAAAGTACAACAAAAATTACAACTGAACTACGAATCATATTGTTGGGATTATATATCAAGATTAAGATAAAACAATTGTTATAATTGGAGAAGAGAATTGTTGGTTCTAACTCCATGTACAACATGTGAGATTTGGGGTTCTCTGAACAAATATTCCCAAGCTCATATGTAAAATTGATAATAGAACAATGCCTCTGATGTCATGTAATTTCTTATGAAATTTGGGGTGGGGTGGGGTGGGGTGGGGGCACAACAATGATGAAGAAACAAGACGAATCAGACATTGAAAATTTGGAAGGAGTTTACCACAGTGTGCAGTCTATCTTTCATCTTCTGCCATCTCCTCTCATTCGCCCCCGTTGTCAAGGTGTAAAACTTTCCTGCAATTAAAACAGTTTTCAGCGGCGGCATGCAATGCGAAGTACATCTTTTTATTAACGTTTTGGTGAAAAAGTGTGGGGGCGAATGTAATAAACCGTGGCGCATTGTAATGGAGTGAAAAAAGTCACTAATGACAATAGTTTTAGCTTCGGTAAATAATGGACTAAATCATATGACACACTTAACTTTCTTTACTTCCTGTTATATAACTGAAGTCTGTGTTTTTTTATAGGAATGTGCACATCATGATCCCTAAACTCCAACATAGTTGGAATTATTTTGGGTTTTGTTGTTGCTGTTGTTGTGGTTGCAAATAAACCAAAGTAATAACATCATACACATATATTAGGTTTTGTCTCTGTTCTATTTGTGGTTAAGGGTGAACATGTCACCATCCATGGCATATTAACCAGATTTTTTGGGGTAAAATGTAAATAATAGCAATAAAAATTCAAGTGCATATAAACAAGATCTTGACTCTATAATTTGTTACCATTGCCAATGCAAACTGAAGCAAGTGCATGGCGTGTGAAATTAGGAGCTTGCGTAATAAACTCGAATGCATAGTATGTTTTCCCCTCCGCATCACGCTGTAATGTTGACAAAAACATAATCAGCAGCAAGGTTCATAGAGATTGAGAAATATATGCCAACAAATGCATCTTAAAGTGAAGTGCACAACCTATAAGAAATGAAATTGATGAGAATCGATTCATGAAGAATTCATATTTTGCACCAATATGTTGAAGGATATCAAGGCGGTGTGTGATACGAAGGAAATTATTTTTCCACCTCCTTGAAAAGATATGTTTTGCAGTACGAATGCATATAGGGCCTGTTTGGTTGGGTAGGAGGGGATAGAAAGGGGAAGGAAAATGAGCCCCTCCCCTCCATATCACGCCACCCCCCCAAATCGGAGGGATTTTCTCTTCCTTCGCCAAACGCAAGCCTTCTCAGTCGTCTCCCTTCATCTTCTTTCATCCGCCATTTTAAATTTGATTGAAAATACTACTTCAGACATTCAAATGAAAGAGAATAGGTGCAATGGTGAATTGTTTTTCAATTGATTGAAAGTTTGTATACATTTTTCATTCGATTATTGCAGGGTGCGTCATTAGTTTTTTTTGAAATTGTTGCTTCTCGAATAGGATGTGGTTTAGTTTCAAGCTTGGCCTTTGGCGGTCCATCTCTGTGCCGCCAGTGCAGAACACAGAGTCCACAACACCCATGGAACAAGAAGTGCTCCGCTCTCCTCCCCTACCCTTCCCCAACCAAACAAGGTGAAAGGAAGCACTCCCATCCCTCCCAAATCCTTCCCATCCTTTCCTTCCCCTCCCCTCCCTCCTAACCAAACAAATAATGTCATCTTTTTATGATTCTGGGCATCTGAGAATATGGCTTGCCCAAAATATTATTTCCATGGAGATTACCTAACACTAGAAAATGTTAGGGAAAATTCATTTTCTATTGGAATTTTTTTCCATGGGAACTCATTCTCTTTGAAAAGGAATTTCTTCTGTGCCAAACACTGCCCTTAATGTGATAGTAACTTCTACAATATCCAGGTGCATCGTAACATCAATCCTACTCAACCTTGCAGAAGTTCAATAGAAAAATAATTTGAAAAAATGGAGAAAAAGAATGCAAGAAATCACATGCCTCTGTGACCTCAAGGAGTTTTGTCTTCTGAGAAGATGAAGCCAGAACCTCCTTCAGCAAAGTTTCAGCAACCTATAGTATTTATCATTTAAGAATATTAGCAAGACTTCACGCTCAAGGGTAGATTAATATGATTTAAGAATATTAGCAAGACCTCACGCTCAAGGGTATATTATTATCATTTATGAATATTAGCAAGACTCCAACAAAAATTTCCTCCTCACCTGTTCTGGGGAACCAAAGTCTCGAATATTTTGTTTGGTAGTGGGGATCACATTTATACTCACATTCTCTAGTGGTTCGACAACATCTTTGAAAACTTTGTCTTGTCCTTCAACAACTACTTCCTGGTTGAAAATAAACAAACAAAAATGTAATCACATATGAAAAATGATGGTGGTAGCACATACAAAAGGGGGAAAAAACAAAAAACTTAAAGAAAATACCAACAACGAGAATGAGTGACTTAAAGTTGTTCAAGAACTAAGTAACGCTATAATCTTCTGGCAGAAGAAAATATACAAAGTAAGTTGGTGATAACCTGCCACCCAAAGGGATAGAGAAAAGAGTATCCATCCTTATTGTCAGTCACAGACAGAAATCCCTTAGTTTTAGTTTCTGCAGCAACTGAGCCATATCAAAGATGTAATCTTAGGATAACGGCAATGCATGAGTCAAATCACTATAGCAAGGGTTTATACTTCTTTTGAACCATTGTGCAAGTTTAACCTGACATTTCATCTAGATTGTAGATGAACTATTGTGATTTCAAATATCATCTAACAAAATTTCTTGGATTGTTTAATAGAGGAAAAATTCAAAAGTACACTATATGATAAGTTACTTGTGGTAGCTTCTCATTTGATCTACTTCATTTCATCTTTCTCGCTCCCATCTATTCCCTATTTTATTGAATTCCAAAAATATTGTCTTTCATTTTCGTATATTATGCCTTTGAAGGCCATTTTACATTTTCAACAAACATTTCATCTAGTTTTTCCCAAACAAGGCTCTTCATTTCATCTCGCACTTTATCTCCATGTAGCATCATTTCATCATTCATCTAGTTGTGCCAAACATAAACTTAATATGTTGAATAAATGACAAAAGAAAAAATACACAAAAACCCTAAATGAATGGGTGAAAATAACGAGTGAATGCTATAAGGGGAGGAGAAGGAATGAGTAGTAGTAGGAAAAGAAGGCCGTGAAATTTTGAAAATATAAGTATATGACCGTCAACAAAGATACACTTACAAGATGTTTTAGTTTGCATAGAAATCAACAAGGGGCAAATAAATGCTCCTAAGGCAAGTAGTTGGCGCCTTTGAGGTTGATCTGTAGATCACAAACAACAAGAATTTAACAGTTGCTCAAATTCTGTGTTATTTACAACTCAAGTGGAATGTAGACAAGTGAGAAGATAGATTAGGTTAGCATATAAGATTAAAGATTGTTAGGTAATAGGAATGGAAACTATGATCTTTCCTGTGGAAGAAGATGCTAAAGCCGATGGGATTTGCTCTGATCTGACAATGAACGACGCATGCTTAGGACTATGCAGATTTCTAGATATTCCCAGCTGGTTCATCAAATAAACATTGATACATGTAAGATGTCGAAACACTATAATATTTATTAGTAATACAAAAGAAAGGAGACAATGAGGACCAGGACCTGATGGGATGCACATGGAAAACATGAATGATGGTTTGTCTGAAACTTCTGCAAAGACATCATTTCTTCTGCACTCTTCTAAACTCAAGAATGTACTGAACACCTTAAAAATTGAAAACCAAAGGATGGAACTTCCTGTATATTTAAAGATTTGGTCGCCTCGTTGAGCAAGTTTATCTAGGAAGTGTTTGGTGCAAATGAAATTCATGTTTAAGTGGGAAAGGATTTCCATAACAATGTCTAGCGTTCAGTTTATATCGAATGCCAAAAGGGCGGACAACTACGCCAGGAGGCCACTATGCTCTGCATAGAGGTCTGTCTAAGTACCAAGTTGCAATTAATGTTCAATTTGACAGTCACAAGACTATGAAACAGTACTGCAAAACACATTGGACATAGAAAACTTTTTAAGCCTAGGCACATTCCCTTCCCGAAACAGAAAAACAGGAAAACATGAAAATGGCATTACCACACACTTCCTCAATTTTTTTAGTGATTCCAGGCATTCTCTGTAACTAATCAACTAATGCAAGGGAGAAGTGCTAAAAACAATCTGGAAATGTTTAGAAACACAGTCTGATAAAGAGAACATTAATTCACATTTCACAAAAAAAACACATTATCCGCGCTCCGCACTCCAGTAACGTAAACAAAACGCTGCAAGTCTGGAATCTACCTTGGAGCCGGCAGTCGGATGAAGGGAATCGGTGGCCGGAGTGGGCCGTGCCGCCGGCGAGAGAAGTGGCGTAGCGGAACTGTGAAAGAAGGCTTATCTAATCAAAGGAGATGATGAAATTAGAGGCTAGAATCATTTCATTTCACACGTAGCTTCTTCCTCTATAACGTAGGTAGTTAAATACAAGCACCAAAATTGGAAATAGCTAAAAAATGTTAGAAAAATGAAAAAAATAATATATTGGAATAAGTAGAAAAAACTTAAAAATTGGAAGAAAACATTACTTTATACACTAATTTGCTACATGCCTCACAAAAATGACAGCAATAATTTTTTTAAATATGTATTTCAAAAATAATAATCAAACTATTATATTACTCGTATTAAAATGCAAAATATTATTGTGGGTTTTTTGTCCACATCATTTTAAGTAGACCTTCATATGAGTGTGATAAGCAAATGCTTACTGTTATCATATTTTTTACAGAAAAATACTCCGTATGTAAAATTAGAGAAATGTTTCTCAGGGTAATAAACATTTGTTTATTATAACACTCATACGAAGGTCCACCTAAAATGGTATGGATTTTATGTCCACCATAGAAGTACTTTATTAAACTCACACAAACAAATGTGTAAGAAAACCAAATATAGATATAAAAAACTTGCATGTTTGATGTTGTGTGTTATAAATTTAATTATGTATAAAATGTTATTATATACCGTAGTATTTATTATTTGTAAATTTTCAAGTTACATAATGTTCAGTTTAGACATTTATTTATTATATACACGCTTTGAACATGCACATTTTAATAATAAATCACCCAACAATTTAATTTTATTGTTTTTCTATTGCAAAACAAGCTAAAGAGAGTAAATTACATTATATTTATATATTTTAATTAACATAAAATAAACATCATAAGTTGTAATATATAAAAATGTAATGTCATTTTATTTTTATTTGACAGTATAATAATAATAATAGTAATAATAATAAAAAGAAGTATTAAATGTAATGAAAAGAATACCCCATTTGTTTTGTAATATTCCAAAATGCCTTTTTATTTGTTTCAAAATAAACATTTACTTTTGATATCAAACAATTTTTTTATGACTTGTATCATTTCTCTCTTTTCTGTATCACTTTCAAATATACAATTTTACATATTTAAATCTTCGCACTTGGTCAATTGTGAAACATTGATACATGATAGGAGTACGAAAAATGAACTTTAATCGATTACATAATTTTATTTTTTTAGATTAGAACCGGAATAAACTAGAAAGAGTTATAAGGAGCAAAACACTCAAACAAGTTAAAAAAAGTTTTAAATTAATTTTCAAGTCCTACTTTTGAGATTAAAACATAAATTTTTTATTATAATATTATGTCTTTATTCTTAATTATTTATTTTCTTGTTATAAGAGCATGCGTAGCGGCAAGACATTTCCTCGCCTCGCAGTGCCACATCAGCAATTCCTCGCCTCGTTGCGCCACATTAGCAATTCCTCGCGAGGCTTCAGCCTTCTTCCACGCCAAGTGTGTGAGGCGCGAGGCATCTTCCACGTTTTTTTAAAGTTTTTTTTTGTGGAAGAAATAATTTTTTTTTAAAAAAAGAGTAAATCTATTTAAAAAAAGATAAATGAAATAATTTTTAATAATTAAAATGCATTAAAAATTATAAAATTGACAAAAATAATGACTTGCCGCTGCACGAGAATTTTTATTGCCAGGATTTGTTTTTATTGGTTGAAATGTGTTATGTCAACGTGTGACATTCTATTTTGTTATTTGTCATTGCAGTGCTCTAACCGCTATTGCATTGTCATTGCTAGTGCTCTAACCTCACTATTCATTTATTGATTCAGCATCATGACTCTTCATCTTAACATCCAGCACTTTGACCATCTTCCTTCCTTTCAGAATTCGAAAAGATTGTTGTTTAGCTATCAGCAAAGTCCAGTTCCTCAGAAGCTGAGAAGCTCCGATCTCCCAGTAGAATCGCAAATAGATGTCCCGCGTGTGTAAAATTAGGGTTTCTGCTCTGAATTCAGGAACACAGCCATGATTTCTGCACTGGTTTCCAATGGAAACTCTACATTCTCCAGAAACCCAGGAATCCGGAGCGGAGAAAAGGTCCATTCTTGGTTTAATCACAACTCCGTTTCTTGCTCTCGGAACCAGAAACAGTTATTCAAGAACGCGAATCTCAAGAGCTGGAGGTTCAGAGTTTCAAGCACAGAGGAGGAGAGTCATGGCAGAGCAGAGATGGCGGTTTTGTGTGGGTTCGGGTATTGGGTTCAAGGGTTCAGGCTATTTCCATGGTTGGCTTTGAACTTCCACATGGCTCATGGAATGAAAATGCACCCTTCAACTCTGCAGTTTGTGCAGAACTCTGGTAATCTCCCATTTGTTGCCAAGCCTCTCTATGGAATCTTGTCTGATGCCCTCTATATTGGTGGTGCTCACCGGTTGCCATACATTTCAATCGGAGGTATATTGACTTCTTTACTCATTGAATTCAACTCCGTATTTATTTGTACAACTATTGAAGGGCAGTATGTTTTTAATTTTTTTATAGGTTTAAGTATATTTAACACACACAACTTGTTGGATGCACTTTTGTTTTATAAAAATGACACGATATGATGAAAAACAGTTTCTTTTATATGAAAAAAGACACTTTTTTGGGATTAAAATAAGTTTCTTGCTGGAGGGAGTAGTACACTAGCACTTAATACCAAAAGATTGCACAAACACTGAAAATTTGATGTCTTGCTTATTGAATTCTTATTTTTCTGCCATTTGTGTGATATATATTTGGTCAGTTATTGACTTATTGGTTGGTGACTTGGTGTCTGTTGGATGAAATACATCTCAGATTCTGACATTCATTACCTCAGTTTTCCTCCAGGCTTTGGCTTGGGGTAAACTAGCTCTGGTTTCAGCTGCTAGTGAAGGGTATCTGGGTATTATGCTGTGCGTTCTTTTAAGCAACCTTGGAGCTTCCATTACAGAAGTTGCTAAGGATGCCCTAGTGGCAGAATATGGTCAGAAAAACAGAATGACCGGTCTTCAATATTATGCGTTTATGGCTTCCGCTGCTGGTGGGATATTTGCTAACTCTCTTGGTGGATATATCTTACTGAAAACAAAGCAACCTAAATTCATGTTTCTAATCTTTTCTGTATTGCTCGCGGTCCAATTAGCATTGTCTTTGACAGTAAGGGAGGAATCTCTTGGTTTGCCTCAACCATCAAATTATGCTCCTCCTGTAAGGAAATCAATCCTGGGTAATATTAAAAAACAGTACTCTGACCTTATGGTTTGCATTAGAGAAGAAAGAATATATCGCCCTCTTATTTGGTTTGTGGCATCAATTGTTGCTGTCCCTGTTCTATCGGGTTCTATCTTCTGCTATCAAACACAGTGTCTTAATTTGAATCCATCAACCATTGGGATGGCAAAAGTGACAGGCCAGTTGGTGCTTCTCTCTATTACTGTCCTCTACGAAAGGATTTGGAAAGATATCCCAATCAGAAAATCTGGTGGCGTCATTCAGATTATATATGCTGCTTCTCTTCTTCTTGATTTTGTGCCCGCGAGACAAATTAATCTCAAGCTGGGAATTTCCAATGAAACTTTTGTGCTTTGTTTTTCTGGTATATCCGAGATCATAGCAACATTCAAGCTTTTGCCATTCTCTGTTCTTTTTGCAAGTCTAGCACCGTCAGGATGTGAAGGATCTCTCTTGTCTTTCTTAGCGTCGGCTTTCTATCTCTCGTCAATAGTTAGTGGGTACTTAGGCGTTGGATTGGCGTCTTACCTTGGGATAACGTCAGGTGATTACTCAAGTCTGCCTGTTGGGATAATAATCCAATTTATTTTAGCATTACTGCCGCTTGGATTGCTCAAGTTCTTGCCAATTTCAGAGTCCTCAGCCAAAAAGGAAAGCTCAAGGTAGATGTATAAAAGGGCTGGAACAAATAGGAGAGTGGGAAAAGAGAGATATTCTTTACTCTGTCTGTTTGATAGACAATAGGTTGATCTGAATCAGTCCAATTCTTAAGACAAGTCTAGTTTGATCATTGCCCATTTTTGTTTGAGATGATAAGGTACACTTCCAAAAACGAGTTTATTTTTTTTTTGAAAGAAATATAGTAGATGATGTGTTGATCTTGGATTACTATTATATGTGCTTTTCCATTAAGAAATATTCTCTACAGCGTAAATGTGTATTGACAAAGTTGATTTAGAAGCAAAGAGAACTGATACAAGTACAAAATTTATAAGAATTTTTGTCCCGATAAGTTTTGTAACAGATACAAGTACAACATTTATAACATTTAAATCTGAGAGTTAGAATGAAACTCTTACTGGTACAAGTTTGTTTTGTTTTTTCTCGACTTGAGACATTTGAAAACCATTTGAATCTCATAATCTATTACCCAAATTGTCTTTCAACTGATGAGGCCTCAGGCATAGAGAATGGAGTAGAAAATTAAATTAAAGAATCACAATGTAGTTATTTAGAAAGAAGTTTTAACTTTACGTGCTGGGTTATGAAACTAAACGTTGAAGGAATTTGTATATGTTTTTTTATTATAAAAAGGAACTTTTTTGTCAATCATCTGGGAATAGCTCTTCTTTTAGTGAAGGAACAATCCATTGGATTTGAATATTGGTCATATCCCACAAATCATTATCCTCTTTCTGAACAAGGATCTCCTCTTCTTTCATTGTAAGAACCATTTTTTTTAGTAGTTCTGGGATCGTATCCAATAATCTTGATTCCCCATACACTCCCAAATCAGCCTTCATACATGTATCCATTCTTCTCAAGATTCCCATCCAAAACCCCCTCATATCAGGACTCTCCGATATTTGCTTCAAGTACCCCAGGTATACTTCTGTCAGCACCTCCATTGATAGCTTTAGAGTACCCTCCATTCCCCTAGTTTCCCTCTCCGCGTTCTCCCTTTTCGAGTATTCTAGCATCTTCTCGTGCAAGTCGTCCACCATTGAGAACAAGACAAGCTTAAAACAATTGACAATGGTTGTGGGAGTGAAGCATAGCTCCTCTGCTAATGCAAAACTCTTCTGCAGAGATATGACAGAGTGGTTTCTGATCTCCTCTCTTCTTGATAAGCTGG